TAATAGTAAGGGTTCGTGAGAATTCAAATCGTATACCTCTCCGACCCCACGTGGTCGTAAAGAACGGAATGCCACCCTCCTCGACCGATGCATCGTCGATACGAACATAGAAGAAATTTTTCTTCCAAGAAGTAGAAGACGTTGCGCAGCCCGTAACAATTTCATCACGAGGGTTTAGAGTAATCCTCCGCGATTGCCCCGTAGGTTTTAACAAACCCTCGAGATGGTCGACGGTAAGGGTGATTCCCTGCTCGTAACTCAGCGTCAAAAGACCGACGAGTTGCTTTAAACTTGGAGGATTCAACTGACTAATCGACAGTCCTAGCCTGTGAAGGAAATGCACAATGACTTCCGAAATCGGAAACCACAAGTGGCATTGTTGCAGGAAAATGTTATAACATGTGAAGAAGCAGTCGGGCGCATCCTCGTCGCTCTCCCCAGCAAGTGGAGAACGAAACTCAACGGCCTCTGGGACTCGGCAGAACTCACGCATGAAATCAATGCTGTTAGAAAGCGTCAAGCTCGGACGTCCAGAAGTCTGATCGACGTCCGACAAGGCTGGAACCCAAGTTCCACGCCTAGCAGACCTCGACTTATCTCCGATCGCCCAAAAAGCCTCGAAATCCGTCGGATCGACTAACGGGGACAAGTACTCTTCCTTCGGAGCCAAGGCTGGAGGTTGCGAACTCGTTCCCTCAGAATTGTGAAAATTGGAACTAGTTGAGGAACGAGTTTTTCTTCCTGAAAACATGTTTGAAGATCTTCAGAGAAAGTGTAGAGAAAAAGTTCTTGAATAAGTTGTAAAAGATGGAGTAAAGAATTCAAAATTTTACTCCATATACTTATAGGGAAGAATTTTACTATTCACCTTTGGACTTTTGGCCATTAAAGTTCCGCCTAATTCCACCAAACTCGCTAAACTCGCCAAACAAGCTCAATCCACTCGCAAGAATCTCACGATTCTTACGAGCTGGGGGGCTAACTGTTGGGGTCAAAATCGGTACGACGGAATTAATAGCCAAAACTCTCCGCAAGAATACAAAAAGAACAGTTTTATAAAGCTCGAGAATCGTTTTATAAAACTCGAGAAAATCGTTTTATAAAACTCGAGAATCGTTTTATAAAACTCGAGAATCGTTTTATAAAACTCGAGAAATCGTTTTATAAAACTCGAGAGATCGTTTTATAAAACTCGAGAATCGTTTTATAAAACTCGAGAATCGTTTTATAAAACTCGAGAATCGTTTTATAAAACTCGAGAAATCGTTTTATAAAACTCGAGAATTCGTTTTATAAAACTCGAGAAATCGTTTTATAAAACTCGAGAAATCGTTTTATAAAACTCGAGAATCGTTTTATAAAACTCGAGAATCGTTTTATAAAACTCGAGAATCGTTTTCTAAAACTCGAGAATCGTTTTATAAAACTCGAGAAATCGTTTTATAAAACTCGAGAAATCGTTTTATAAAACTTGAGAAATCGTTTTATAAAACTCGAGAGATCGTTTTATAAAACTCGAGAGATCGTTTTATAAAACTCGAGAAATCGTTCTATAAAACTCGAGAGATCGTTTTATAAAACTCGAGAGATCGTTTTATAAAACTCGAGAGATCGTTTTATAAAACTCGAGAGATCGTTTTATAAAACTCGAGAAATCGTTTTATAAAACTCGAGAATCGTTTTACAAAACCGCAAAAAACCAAAAAAGCCGTAAAACGCGAACTAGTCGCAACTAGTTCGCCCATCGGCGAACTAAGAAGCACTCTCTAGTTCGCCCATCGGCGAACTAAGCCGGGCCCGGCTTAGTTCGCCGATGGGCGAACTAGGGAGTAATCAACTAGTTCGCCCATCGGCGAACTAAGCCCGCCCGGCTTAGTTCGCCGATGGGCGAACTAGGACATGCTCGACTAGTTCGCCCATCGGCGAACTAAGCCGGTCCCGGCTTAGTTCGCCGATGGGCGAACTAGAGACGTCCCGGACACTCCGCGTCTCGATCTCCCGCATTCCCGATTTGACGCTTACGTCTTTCGAAAAGGACGCGTTCTAAACCACGGCCGAAATATCTCACATTCCATCTCGATCCGACTTACCGTTCGAGTTTTACGATAAAAATTGTAAAACTTCGTTTTCTCGGAAAGAACTCGAGGAAATCGTATAAAACGGCAACGCTTGAACGAAACACCGAACATTTCTTAAACTATACGATTTATTCGAGATTTCTCGTCGAAATCATAAAAAACGCGCTTTTAATAAAAAACACCGAGTAAAGTCGTAAAAAACGTGTTTTTAATAAGAAGTCGAGTAAATCGTAAAATCTTGCGATTAACTCGAGAAATTTATTAAAAATGACGTCAGATCAGGAAACGATCCCGTAAATCGTAAAATCTTGCGATTAACTCGAGAAATTTATTAAAAATGACGTCAGATCAGGAAACGATCCCGTAAAAAGTCGGAAAACGAAATTCAGAGCTCTCACCACCAAAACTAGCATTTAGGAATCTTTCCGTTTTTCTGTTAGCGAGCTGCGTCTCAATTAGGGTTTTCTAGTTCTTACGTTTTCGGCTACTCTCTTTGTACCAGTTCAACGCATATTCGGAATAAGAACCTTCTTGCTTTCAATCTCGCTTATTTACGTTTTAATTCTAAGTGTTTTCGTCATCTTAATCTTTGTTGTGCGGTTCTCGCAGATAGCCGGTTCCTCTAGAAACTTAGGGTTTTCCCGAAGTTTCCTTATTTACGATTTATTTGACAGTTGGGTGAAATCGACTCCCACATATAGTTTTGGGCTTACTTTTGTTTTTAGGACAAATTATATGGTTTGATTTTTAGGCTTACTATTAAGGAAAAACTCCAAAAACATTGAATAAAATTTCTATCTTAATGGATCAAAAAATCAATTATTATTTTCAGGCCCAAATGTATTTAATACTTTAACAAATCAAAATTCTCTATTATTAATCCTTTATTTAAATCATGTACTTTAAAACATGTTATTGTATTTTTTATTTTAAATAACAATCACTTTTTTTGATAAATTTCAATGGTAACTTTTAAATAATTTATTGTTTTATTTTTCTTAAATAATTTACTGATTTTAAAAAAAATATATATGTAAAGCAAAATCAAAAACCAATTCTAAAATCTAAAACCCAAAACCAAAAGCTGAAAACGCATTGTTCTGGATAACATATTGTTATAGTTTTTGCTTTTGTTTATTTACAAAATAAAATATTGTAATTTTTTTTTAAAAAAATTTTGTCCTCTTTTCAGTTTTAAATTAGATGTTCGATTATTTGAAATTTGTTTGTTGGTAATATCAGTACAAACTAACTCAGCGGATCTAAAAATTAAAAACCCAAACAAAAGCTGAAAATCAAAAATAGAAACTTAAAAACTAAAATCCAAAATCTAAAAATAAAAACTGAAACTAAAAACTAATGAAAAAAATCGTCACCACAAATTTTGATAAATTGATTTTATACCAAAACATTCTTTAAATTAAGACATAACCCAATTATATAAATTTTAGTTATAAAAAATATCCGCACTTGAAAGCACAGGTCAAAATCTAGTATGGTTTAAGCAATGACAAACACATATTGTTTATTTTAGTATCGTTAATACAAATAATACAAATGTGTATGCATGTAAAAAATTACAATTTTAAAATGTAAAAATTAAGAGAAGTAAGCCGGATAGGCAAATATCTATAACCCGCAGAAAACATTTTCCAAAACTTGGAAACCCCAAAAACCACAATAATATTTGAGAAACCAAACTCCTTTTAATACAAAACTTCTTTAGACCTGCCCTGATCTCGAGTAAATCTCCTGTGTATTTTCACCTATAACTTCATCTCCAAAGTGATGCATAAAAGCAAAATCTTGGTACCAGGTATTGTTCCTCGAGAGAATTAGGGAAATGCCCAAAATGGAGGCTCTAATTAGGGAAATGTCCATGATGGGACATAAAACCAAAATTTCATACAATTATGCTTGGTTTGGACGATAAAGTCCCTCTTGCATTCTCAACTCCTCTGCCATCTTTTAATTATTCTGACACTCTCTTTCTTCTCCCCTCTTACACTCTCTTTCCATTTCTTACTATATTTTTTTTTCTTCCATATTTTTTCATCCAAAATTTTTTTATTTATTAAAAACTAATTGACACACGAAAAAAATAATTTTTATTCGTTAAAAACTAATTAACACACAAAACAAAGTATTGATTTGTTTAATTACACCACAGATTGAGAAAATCATCATTGCAATATCTTTAAAATCACCGATTGTTAACAACTGTGTTATCTGTAACAAATAATGTAGATGTTAATAGATGTGTTAGCTGTTAACAAATACATGTACCAGAGGTGTTAGCTGTTAATAAATTTGTTAACAGTTAATGTCTCTGTTAACACATCTGATACATGTATTTGTTAACAGCTAACACATTTGTTAACAGCTAACACATCTGTTAACACTTTTGTTGACAACTACATTATTTGTTAACATCTAACATAAGTGTTAACATCTCGACGATTTTATAAAAGCTTCAATGCTGATTTTTTCAGAATGTGGTGTAATTAAAATAATTTAGATTCATAAGAATAGTAGTAAAATAGTAATAAATTTTTTCGCAATAATAAATTTTTACACAAAAAATGAAGGTATTAACATGATAAAAGAATTTGAGAATGAGAAAGAAGAGTAATCAAAGGAAAGAGAGTGTCAGGAGAGAGAGTGTGTCAGGTGAGAGAGAGTGTGTCATGCATATAAAAGGAAGGGCAATTTCGTCTAATAAATTGGATCAGTCCCATCATGGGCATTTGGCTAATTAAAGGTGCTAATATGGTGTTTCAGCAAATAATCTCTTGTTCCTCGTTACTATTTTCTAATCTTCTCCCCAGTGATCCACTGGATAAATAATCCTTGTCACTGTAGAAACACACAAACCTATATGCATCACATATCCATCTTATATCTTCAATCAAAGTAATAGCAACCAAGTACATGAAAAGGATAAGTATCGGTAGTATTATATAATCATAGATTCTTCTTAAAACCATCCTTCATTCCCCATAGCAAAAAAATGTCCAATTTTTCTGAAAAGTTAGTTCAAGTCCCTCCTCTTTTCAGATTACGGACCACACCATCCCTATTAATCCATCCGTCTCCACACCAAACAAAACCAGTTGTTTCACCTAAAATCAGAATATACAAATAGATAGAGATCATTTTACTGAATTGCCCAGCTGTTCTCTGCAATCCAAATTAAAAGAAACCATATTTCTGACAGAATCAGATATAAAAGAACATGTCATACTTATTATTCCTTGAAGCTGCCTATAAATAGCATTTCCAAACCAACAACATTAAAAAAAACACCACCAACAAAGCAACCAACAACACAGCCTTAAGAATAACCAAATAGATGGAAGAAAGAAAACTTTAGACATAGAGTCTTTATATAGATGAAGGCAATGCAATCTCTAATACTCAATATGACAGCAGAGACTTATTTTCTTGCCAAATCCTAAAATTACAGTCTTCCGTTTACCATACCTGCTGAATCAGTCCCCCATTTATGAAATTAGATAATTCCTTGAGAACATTTTTTAAAAGATAACTTACATTACTTTCATCTTTCCGGTTTTCTTTTTTTGGCAATGCCATGAGATGTGGCTCCTCTTCCTCGAAGAAGATTCTGCAAGGGCAGGGATCTTTTGCTGATGGTGAAATCAATGAGCTCTGGATGAGAACCGTACCGACGTACATGACGCATAGATGTACAACTGATAGTATCGCCGTGAAGAACAACTGTGTAACACCCGACTTCTCTGAAAATAATATAATTGTAATAGCCAAATAATAATAACATAAGTTTCATTACTCAACATCCACATCGGAAATCCGCAATACAAGATAATATCTGAAATATAAATAACAACATAAACCGAGAGTCTGAAAATACGAAACAACGTAAACGATAAAAGTCCAAAAGGCTTATAAGCCCAATAACGATAAAGTACGATAAAATACGATTATATAGGATAAAAGCCCAAAAGCCCAAATAGCACCGGTCCGATAGAATCACTCCTGCTCATCGGTCTCACCTGCAAGGGGAAAAGAAAGGAGGGGGTGAGCAACAGGGGAGTTGCTCAGTGAGGCATGGGGTGTTAAACCACCAAACCACTGACTAAGTTCATAGCACTACAAAAATGTAAGCCTAGCTCTAGCATGAAACAAACACGGCGTCTACTACGCCTCACAGAACAATCAACATACGTCTAGTGGACTAGACATGCTACAACCAATGCGATAATACATATCACACTTCCTCATAAGGATATACGTATATATAACTCCACAGGAGTCGTAAGTACAGTAGTCTACTCTGTACCCCCGCAAACACTAAGGCGTCATAAGTACAAACGTCTTTGGACCCCCGCAATATCCTCAAACATAGGCGTTGTAAACACAGACGTCATGTGCCCCCGCAATCTCCTCAAACATAAGCGTCGTAAGTACAAACGTCTTTGTACCCCCGCAATCCCACACATGGACTCATATATATATACATTATATAACAATTCTTAACTTCAATCATTTCACACAATCGTTGAATCCTCTATTATCCTAATTCCGGTTTAACAATTAATAGTAATAACTAAACAAACAAGACTCTCAAACAGACTCGATTCACAGAGACGGATCATGTTTTGAAACTAAACTTTCCATAATGGTAGTACTAAACTAGTTCGGGATTTAACGGAGTAGCCCTCACATTAGCAATGAAGAGAAATGGTATCTATGAACTCCAGGTGCTCAAATAGACTCCAAATCTGAAACCAGGGCGAAAAATCGAGTCAGAACGGCTTTCGAACGGCATAAAACGGGTTTCGGGCTGTTTAGACAAAAAGTCAGCTCGCATGTCAAAGTCAACCCGGTCAACCCTTGACAAGAAATCAATTGACTTAACCAAATCAGTTTGACCTTAACCAATTTCGAATTGAATTGAACCAAATCCCAATTGATTTCAATCCGGTTTACACTTAACCAAAATCAATTAATTTAAATAACCGGTTTAACCCTAACCGATTTCTAATTGATTTTAACCACCGGTTTAAATAACCAACAATAACCGAAACTAACCAGCCTAAACCGGTTGACCGAGTCAACGGCTGACTCGCCGAGTCAACGGTTGACTCGCCGAGTCAACCCGGTCGAATTGACCGAGTCGCCGGCGAGTCACCGGCTCCGGTCACTGGTCCGGCGAGGAGGGGCGGCTGCTTACCGGCGGTCACCGGCGGCGGCGACACGGCAGAGGTGCGGCGGCGGCGGCTTCCCGGCGGCGGACGGACGGCGGCCGGCTGCGGTAGCTACGGCGAGGTGACGGTAGCGCGTGATCTTCACGCGCGGCGGAGCAGGCAGCGCGTCGGCGGCGCGTGGACGTCACGCGCTCCGGCGGTGATTCTTTAAGTGTGGCGCGTGCGGCTTCGTCTGAGGTTGGATCACAGCGTAGTCGGGGTCTACGACTTCGTCTCAACGAGTAGAACACGGTGGTAGCCTTGCATTAACGAGATCCGCAACGGTTAGAGAGTATTGTCGATTTACTAAACAGATCAAAACTAACTTAAAAAGGTTGGGGTTTCCGGTGGTTACCTAAGGCGGTTACTGGAGGTGACGGGCTGGTCGGGAACTCTGGTCGTGGTGGCTCCGGTGACTGATTCTGGCGACTCAAACTCTGCATGCAACACCAACACTTCTTCTCAACTCTCTCTCTAAACTCTTTTTATTTTTATTTTTGCATGAAGTTTCTGAGAAAACAAGGTGAGGAAATGGCTTTTATAGCCAATACCTTGGGTATTTTCGGATGGGCCTTGAGGTTGGGCTGATATTAGTTGGGGTGGTGGGCTTAGGTCATGTCAATTCTCCCCCACTAATACGGAATTCGTCCCTGAATTCGAGTCGAGAGTCGACTGACCGATAACATCTTGAAACAACTCTAGAAAATCAATCCTCATCTGCGGCTCAGACTCCCAGGTCTCCTCCTGGATCCCGTCTCTCTCCCAACGGACCTTAACCATCGTCGTCATCATCCCCTGATGCGCTCTCACTTGTCGATCCACAATCTCTACTGGCTGACAAAGTGCAGATAAATCTCTACCAAGGTCACTGGGCGGCTGCTGCAAAATGAGCTCTGGCTCTCTTACGACTTTCCTCAAAACTGAAACGTGAAACACGTCGTGGAAATCGGATAACTCTGCTGATAGACGCAATCTGTAAGCTACTACTCCAATCCGCTCCAAAATAGGAAAAAGTCCCATATACCTCGGTTTAAGCTTCTTCAGCTTCCGAGTCGTATATCCTCCCTGAAACGTCCTCATCTTAAGGTATACCAGGTCGCCAACCTGAAACTCCAAGTCCTTACGTCGCTTATCTGCATAACTCTTTTGACGGTCATGAGCTTCCTTAAGCCGTCTCTTGAGCATCTCAACTTGCTCTACCGTCTCTTGAACCATTGCTGGTTCTATCTCACGTCGCTCCCCCACTTCTGTCCAACAAAGCGGGGTACGACAAGGTCTACCATAAAGAGCCTCATATGGTGCCATCTGAATACTCGAATGATAACTGTTGTTGTAGGCGAACTCCGCAAGAGGTAGATACTTCAACCAACTTCCTTCCCAATCCAAAACGGAAGCTCTCAACATATCCTCCAAGGTCTGGATAGTTCTCTCTGACTGACCATCGGTCTGCGGGTGATAAGTGGCACTCATGTGGACCTTGGTCCCAAGCGCCTTCTGAAAGGCTCTCCAGAATGCAGACGTGAACTTTACATCCCGATCCGATACAATGCTGACAGGTACTCCGTGCAGTCTAACAATCTCACTGATATACATCTCTGCCAACTGCTCAGCTTTGTCTATCGTCTTAACTGCGAGAAAATGAGCTGACTTGGTGAGTCTATCCACGATTACCCATATAGAATTCTTCCCTCCTGTGGTGGTCGGCAACCCCGTCACAAAATCCATAGTCACCATGTCCCATTTCCACTCTGGTAATGGCAGGTTTTGCAATAACCCGCTAGGTACCTGATGCTCTTCCTTAACCATCTGACAAGTCTGACACTGCGATACAAAAGTAGCGACTTCCCTCTTCATACCCGGCCAATGGTAATAACGCTTCAGATCTCTGTACATCTTAGTGTTTCTTGGGTGGATAGAGACACTCGAGTGATGTGCTTGCTTCAAGATCTCCTTCCTCAACCGCTCATCATCTGGTACACAAACTCGGTTTCGGAACATAAACATCCCACTCAAAGCTGTATGATATCCAATACTCTCGATCTCGATCTGCTTACGCAAAGCCTCATCACTAACCTGCGCCTGGCGTATCCTCCATAGCAAATCTGCCTTCTCTACAGCCTTGAGGCCAGCTGCCTCTCCATCTACAGTGGTGGCACACAATCTAAGACTAGCGAGGACCCCACTCAACTCTTGAACCTCTTTGGTTCCTGAAACATCGCTTCTGCGTCTGCTCAAGGCATCTGCCACCTGATTAGCCTTGCCCGGATGGTATGTGATCTCCAAATTATAATCCGCTAACAACTCAATCCACCTGCACTGTCTCAGGTTCAAGTCTGTCTGAGTAAAGATGTATTTCAAACTCTTGTGATCCGTGAAAATCTTCACCTTCTCACCATATAAATATGATCTCCAAATCTTCAGCGCAAATTCAACTGCTGCTAACTCCAAATCATGCATAGGATAGTTAACCTCGTGAGGCCTCAACTGACGCGATGCATAAACAATAACTTGTTTCTCCTGCATCAACACACATCCCAACCCTGAACCCGAAGCATCAGTGTAAACCTCATATGGTAGTCCCGGCCTCGGAAGTACCAACACTGGTGTCTGAGTCAGTTGTCGCTTCAATTCCGTGAAGCTTTTCGAGCAATCCTCTGCCCAATCAAACTTGACATCTTTTCCCGTTAGTCTCGTCATCGGTTTTGCAATGCCGGCAAAATCCTTAACAAAGTTCCTGTATTACCCAGCCAAACCGAGAAAACTGTGAATCTCTGTAGCACTCTTAGGTGTCAGCCACTCTGAAATAGCAGCAATCTTCTCTGGATCTACTGCGACTCCTGCCTCTGAAACCACATGACCAAGAAACCCAATCTTTCTCTGCCAGAAGCTGCACTTGCTCCACTTAGTGAACAACTGATGCTCTCTCAACTTTCCCAATACAATCCGCAAGTGCTCTGGATGCTCCGCTCTGCTCCGAGAATAAACCAAGATATCATCAATGAACACGATCACACACTTATCCAAATGCTCGCGAAACACATCATTCATCAGCTTCATGAATGCCGCAGGTGCGTTCGTCAATCCAAATGGCATCACTACAAACTCATAATGGCCATACCGCGTCCGGAAAGCTGTCTTCTGCACATCTCCATCAGCTATTGCGATATGATGGTATCCCGACGCCAAGTCAATCTTAGAAAACCATGAAGCTCCTTGCAATTGGTCCAACAACTCATTGATACGCGGAAGTGGGTACTTATTCTTGATGGTGACTTTGTTCAACCCTCTGTAGTCGATACAAAGCCTGAAACTCCCATCTTTCTTGTTCACAAATAATACCGGTGCTCCCCATGGTGAAGTACTCGGTCTGATGAAGCCCTTAACCAATAGCTCCTCCAACTGCTTTTTCAACTCAGCCATCTCTGCTGGTGCTAATCGATATGGAGCTCGTGAAACTGGTGATGCTCCCGGTTCCACCTCGATATTAAGAACGTCACTTCTAGCTGGTGGTGGCCCTTTTAAAGCCTCAAAAACATCCTCGAACTCAGAAACCACTGGAATATCATGCAGCTCTTGCTGACCATCATCCTTAACAATCGAAATGGTTGCTAAAAACCCTTGGGCTCCTCTTTCCATCAACTCTTCTGGACGTAACATGGAAATGACATAAACTCCTTGGTATGTCTGCATCCCCTGGAAAATGATATCTCCTTCGGGCCTAGGAATCTTAACTCTTGCCCTCGGGAAATCCAACACGACTTGATGGCGCGACAACCAATCCATCCCAAGTATGACATCGTAGAAACTCATCTCCAAGTCCGTCAAATCTCCGAGTAAGTCAACTCCTCCAAGCATAACTGGTACATCACGATGAACACCAACTGCTCCCAACTTCTCTACGCCGGCGGTCTGAATCTGCTTAGCTTTTGGCTCAAAACACCTCGGAAAGTCCAAGACTTGACCAAATGCGGACTCACAAAACTGTGAGAAGCACCCGTGTCGAACAAAGTGTGAGCTGGCTCACCTCCAACCAAAACTGATCCTACACATAATTTTACTAAATGCAAATACTAACCACGAATCAAAATTATTCATTTACAACGAATCATGATGAATATACATACCCGCTATCGGCTCTGCTCCTTGCGGGTCTCCTGTAGCAAACACACGCGGAGCAATGGCTGGACCCTTCGCTGGTGGTAGAAGCGCTGCGTTTCCCCTCCTAGGACAATCTCTAATCATGTGTTCCGGCTGGTTACAACCAAAACAGTTCCCAACTGCCACCGATGGGGCTGCTCCGGCTTCTGGTGCGGCAGTCGGGGTACGTCGAGGCTTCCTACAATGCTTCGCGAGATGTCCAAACTGACCACAGTTGAAGCACTCGAAACACTCCCCAAAATGACGGTGACGACAACACGCACAACGAGGTGTCTCAGTCTGATCCCACGTCCTCTTATGCGACCCAGAAGTCCCTCCGGTCTTAGGCTGAGCTGTCTTGGAGTACTTCTTCTCCTCTGCCAAACATTTCTCCTGAGTAGCAGCCTTCTCTACCAAATCCTCAAAACTGGTGTAAGGCACCACACTGCATCTACCGCGAAGCTCCACTCGCATCCTATCCAAGAACCTCCTGATCAGATCCTCCTCATCCATAGTGTTACCGGCGAACATGCGGAGGCCGCGAAACTCGAACTCATACTCCTTGACAGTCTTAGTACCCTGCCTCTAATGCTGAAACTCATTCTTCTTCTGGTGCAAGGTCTCCTTGGGAAAATACTTCTTATCGAATGCACGGAGGAAATCATCATAGGTCTGATTGACCCCACGCATCAGCTTCACTCCATCTCACCATACTAAGGCATCTCCACGCAAATACAACTCGGCGATATTGAGGCGGAGTCGGTGCGGGCACTTGATGATATCCAGACAACTATCCAGCCTATGCTTCCAATTATAAGCATCTTCCGCACCAACTGCACCCAAGAAAGGCTCCAATTTCACATACTTCATTTGTCCCATCATCTTCATAAGTGTCTCGTCACACTCAACAACCTGCTCCGGAATGACGGGTGGTGGTGGTGGTGGAAACTGAAATCCCAATGGAACCTGCTGTGCGGGAATCTGGTGATCCTGCTGAACCTGAATCGGTGGAGCTGCTGCACATGAATCTGCGGACCATGCTGCACCTGAACCTGAGGACCATGCGGAATATGCGGACCCTGCTGAACTGCAGCCATCTGTCTAGCAACCTCCTGTGCTGCTACTCTGGCAGCTTCCTGAGCGGCCTGTCTAGCTGCCTCTTGGGCAACCTGCTGAACTGCTTCCTGAGCAGCTTGTCTAGCTGCATCCTGCACCAACTGCCTCAAAGGGTCATGATCAACCGGTGGAGGTGGAGGTGGTGGCTGCTGAACTGCGGGCTGAACATCATCATCTCCTGCCTCTGTAGCAGCTCTAGTAGTCTGAGTACGAACAACTCCCGTTCGCGGCGGCATATGAAAGGGGAAACAAGTGGGTTAACTTCTATCAAACACTAATTCAAAAGGGTTAAAGAAGTGATACCGGACATACTGGTGCTATTGATTTTTATTTTGAAAATTTCCAAATCCCCAAAATACTTTTAAAATCGTGAAAAACCGAAGCAAACCGAATTAAAATCCGAGTTAAAAATCTAGGTCTCCACGAATCGTCATCCCGGGTCGGAGCCAGGACAGAACCACGCTCTGATACCAAAAATGTAACAGCCGACTTCTCTGAAAATAATATAATTGTAATAGCCAAATAATAATAACATAAGTTTCATTACCAAATACTGAAAAGTCAACATCCACGCCGGAAATCCGCAATACAACATAATATCCGAAATATAAATAACAACATAAACCGAGAGTCTGAAAATACGAAACAACGTAAACGATAAAAGTCCAAAGGCTTATAAGCCAAATAACGATAAAGTACGATAAAATACGATTATATAAGATAAAAGCCCAAAAGCCCAAATAGCACCGGTCCGATAGAATCACTCCTGCTCATCAGTCTCACCTGTAAGGGGAAAAGAAAGGAGGGGGTGAGCAACAGGGGAGTCGCTCAGTGAGGTATGGGGTGCTAAACCACAAAACCACTGACTAAGTTCATAGCACTACAAAAATGTAAGCCTAGCTCTAGCATGAAACAAACACGGCGTCTACTACGCCTCACAGAACAATCAACATACGTCTACTGGACTAGACATGCTACAACCAATGCGATAATACATATCACACTTCCTTATAAGGATATATGTATATATAACTCCACAGGCGTCGTAAGTACAGTAGTCCACTCTGTACCCCCGCAAACACTAAGGCGTCATAAGTACAAACGTCTTTGTACCCCCGCAATCTCCTCAAACATAGGCGTCGTAAGCACAGACGTCATGTGCCCCCGCAATCTCCTCAAACATAGGCGTCGTAAGTACAAACGTCTTTGTACCCCCGCAATCCCACACATGGACTCATATATATATACATTATATAACAATTCTTAACTTCAATCATTTCACACAATCGTTGAATCCTCTATTATCCTAATTCCAGTTTAACAATCAATAGTAATAACTAAACAAACAAGACTCTCAAACAGACTCGATTCACAGAGACGGATCATGTTTTGAAACTAAACTTTCCATAATGGTAGTACTAAACTAGTTCGGGATTTAACGGAGTAGCCCTCACCTTAGCAATGAAGAGAAGTGGTCTCTATGAACTCCAGGTGCTCAAATAGACTCCAAATCTGAAACCAGGGCGAAAAATCGAGTCAGAACGGCTTTCGAACGGCATAAAACGGGTTTCGGGCTGTTTAGACAAAAAGTTAACTCGTAGGTCAAAGTTAACCCGGTCAACCCTTGACCAGAAATCAATTGACTTAACCAACCGGTTTGACCTTAGCCAATTTCAAATTTAATTGAACCAAATCCCAATCGATTTCAATCCGGTTTACACTTAACCAAAATCAATTAATTTAAATAACCGGTTTAACCCTAACCGATTTCTAATTGATTTTAACCGCCGGTTTAAATAACCAACAATAACCGAAACTAACCAGCCTTAACCGGTTGACCGAGTCATCGGTTGACTCGCTGAGTCAACGGTTGACTCTCCGAGTCAACCCGGTCGAGTTGACTGAGTCGCCGACGAGTCACCGGCTCCAGTCACCGGTCCGGCGAGGAGGGGCGGCGGCTTACCGGCAGCGGCGAAACGGCGGAGGTGCGGCGGCGAAGGCTTCCCGGTGGCGGACTGACAGCGGGCGGCTGCGGTGGCTACGGCGAGGTGATGGTGGCGCGTGATCTTGACGCGCGGCGGAGGAGGCGGCGCGTCGGCGGCGCGTCGGCGGCGCGTGGACGTCACGCGCTCCGGCGGTGATTCTTTAAGTGGTGCGTGCGGCTTTGCCTGAGGTCGTATCGCAGCGTGGTTGGGGTCTACGGCTTCGTCTCGACGAGTAGAACACAGTGGTAGCCTTGCATTAACGAGATTCGCAACGGTTAGAGAGTTATGGTCGATTTACTAAATGGATCAAAATTAACTTAAAAAGGTTGGGGTTTCCGGTGATTACCTAAGGCGGTTACTGGAGGTGACGGGCTGGTCGGGAACTCTGGTCGTGGTGGCTCCGGTGACTGATTCCGGCGACTCCAACTCTGCATGGAACACCAACACTTCTTCTCAACTCTCTCTCTAAACTCTTTTTATTTTATTTTTGCATGAAGTTTCTGAGAAAACAAGGTGAGGAAATGGCTTTTATAGTCAATATCTTGGGTATTTTCAGATGGGCCTTGAGGTTGGACTGATATTAGTTGGGGTGGTGGGTTTGGGTCATGACAAACTGTTTCCAGAAATATATGATTAGATTCCTATGTATTTATTTTACAAAATATTACAAAAGTGTACCTCATAAGTTTGAGACCAAATCTTTTGGTGCTACTATTCAGCCAAGAGCTTGAATGGTAGTTCTAACATGCCTCTGCATTTCACATAAAGTGCAAAACCTAGCCACATAGACTACACAAAAATTTTCATGAGAAAATCCAATTAGACACTGAATAAAAGACCTGCCAAGCCAAGCAATTAATCAAACCAGCTTCTAAATGCTACTTACAGTGTTTCACATTGCCCACATCTTGGCAAGTAAGCATCTAACCACTCAGTATATGTCAAACATTGCGATACAAAATTCAGAAAATATGTATTTCCAAGATTCTTCCACCAGACCCTACATATGAGGCTTTCTTGTTAGTGCAGCAGGGATTCAACGTCTCCATCTTGAACTCAGAACCACCATTAGAGAAGCCATTGGAGGGTTTCCTAGCAAGATTAAAATCAAGTGGAAAAACGCTAAAACCTTCATCAACTTTTCTGATCCTAGGACAAATCGCCTTCGTAATCACCTCTTACAAAAGACCTGGATTATTTTATCGACATAATAATTTAGTATTAATTTTTTGAGATGATTTTTTAATTATTTTAGATGATATTATTTTTTGAAACTGAAATGATATAATAAATAATCTATTAGAAGTTTTTATAGTTTTGTTATAAATGATAAAAAAAAAATTGCTTTCAATCTTAAATTTGTAAGTAGGAACTGAATATTAATTCAGATGTTAAACATATTAGACTTTCAATTTATGAAAAATGAATTTTCAATACAAACAATAAATATCTATAACTACATAAGATTTGTACCCTAATATATTGCAGATTCTAATTTAAAAACAAAATATTTATAAAATGCAATCATTCTTATGTTAATTTTGAAATATTGTTTTATGCAATAATACAAACTAAAATTTGTTCCACATATAGATCTTTCTGTAATCAAATTAAAAATGTATGTGAATATAAATATATGAAAATTAAAAAATGATAATTTCTCATATATATTTATTTAAGTCGTCTTTACGCCGGTTTTAGTTTTATTTTTAATATTTTATGAAAATTTAATATTTTAATATTGGAATAAATTAATCAATGTTTTAATTTGTCAAGCATTGGTCAAAAGTCATGACAAATTAGTTAAATAAATCATAGCTAGTTAGGACTAAATATTTTTTGGTTAACTAAATCTTTTTTTGGTTAATAACAAATATGGCATATCTTATGACTGTCGTTACAACTAGGAAAGAAATTCTATCACATATTTAGTTGCTAAATGATTTATTGGGCGGATATACTTAGAATATATTCTGAAAAATAATTTAGGAACAGGTATATTAAATACAAAAGAAGTTATAGAGTAGTTTCGTTATTTTAGCTCTTGTTGAAAAACTTAAAAAGATTATGTGAGATATAATCTTGAAACATACTATACGGTTGGTTTACATGTAAACATACTATACGGTTTACATGTAGGGACTTACATGTATAGGAGACATGTTATTATAATAAATTTAATAAGACTTAGCTACATAACTTATGTTGAGCCACCAAGATCGATAAATTTTAAATTTGATAAACGATGGTTCCAGAATGAGGAACTTAGACATATTATACTTGAAGGATGGAAATCACCAGATCTACCACCGGCTGCAAGTATTATGGAAGATATAACAAGCTGCAGGCGAGCGCTTTGCGATTGGAAGAGACAACATAGTCTGAATTCAGAAAAAAGTGTAGAGGAGTTGAAGGAAAAGGTGGATCGTTTATCCTTTAATGATGATGCCACTACAGAGGAGATAGCAGCGGCTTTAAAAGAATTGTCTGACGCCCTTAACGCGGAGGAATTATTCTGGAAGCAGAAGTGTAGGGTATTTTGGTTAAGGGAGGGAGATCGAAACACTAAATTTTTCCATGCTTTAACAAAGCAGCGAAGAGCGAGGAATAGGATAACCCAACTATTAGATGCAGATGGGAATGTTGTGGAGGATGAGGAAGGCCTGGTAGCCATTGCTACTAGCTATTTTCGCCAAATCTTTCAATCATTGAACCCTGAGGAAATTGAGGAGACACTTTCAAAAGTTACCACTACAATTATGCCTGCAGATAATGAGGGTCTCACAGCTTCGGTTTCAGAGTGGGAAGTTAAATTAGCTCTCTTTGCTATGCATTCTGAGAAAGCTCCTGTACCTGACGGAATGACAATTTTGTTCTATCAAAATTTTTGGGATATCGTCACGGATGATTTAACTTGTATGGTTAATGAATTCCTATTTCAAGGGACTATTCCGACTGGTCTAAATGAGACTAATATATGCCTTATCCCAAAAAATGACAAGCTAAACCAGATGAGTCAACTACGACCCATTAGTCTTTGAAACGTTTACTACAAGATTATCTCCAAGGTCCTATGCCAAAGACTAAAAAAGGTCCTTCTAGAGAGGATCTCTGAAATCCAGTGAGCCTTTGTTGCTGGGAGGCAGATATCAGACAACATAATGATAGCCCAGAAATTGTTCCATGCCTTAAGAACAAAACCAAGTGGGCGCAATAAGAGAATGGCCATCAAAACAGACATGAGTAAGGCATATGATCGTATGGAATGGTCTTTCATTGAAGCCACTATGAGGAAGATGGGATTCTCAGAAGTCTGGATTATGCGATGTGTAACAACAGTAAAGTACAAGGTACTTATGAATGGACAGCCAAGAGGAAATATTGTCCCGGAGAGAGGTATACGTCAGGGAGATCCTTTGTCCCCTTTCATTTTTATTCTATGCACGGAAGCGCTCGTTGGCCTTCTTAATCACGCAGAGAATCATGGAAAGATAACGGGGATGTGCATCACGCGTGCGTGTCCGTCGGTATCCCACCTTCTCTTTGCTGATGATAGTCTTTTCTTTTGTAAGGCGCTGCCCCGTGAATGTGAAGAAGTAATGAAAGCGGTTAGGAAATATGGACAAGCCTCTGGACAATGTATTAATTTTGACAAGTCTTCTATACTCTTTGGTAAGAGGATCGGTCAAGAGGCCAGGCAGGAGATCAAAGATACACTTGGGATCCAAAATGAAGCAGGAACGGGAACCTACCTAGGGATACCAGAGGATATCAGTGGCTCGAAATATAAGCTGTTAGCATTCTTAAAAGACAAACTTCGGAATAAAGTGAATGGATGGACGGGCAGGTGGTTATCTAGAGGTGGAAAGGAAGTAATGATTAAGTCAATCCTGTTAGCTCTCCCAACCTATGTTATGTCTTGCTTTCTCCTCCCATTGGAGATATGTGATGTCTTGGCTAGTGCCATTGCACAGTTTTGGTGGAGCTCAAACCCACCAAAGAGAGGCTTACACTGGACAACATGGTATACGTTATGTCTATCTAAAGAGGAAGGAGGAATTGGATTCAGGATGATCCATGAGTTTAACCTGGCAATACTAGCAAAGCAGTTGTGGAGATTGGCCCAAAATCCAGATTCCTTGGTAGCTCGAGTTATGAGAGGGCGGTATTATCGACTAAGTTCGCCTTTGCGAAAGTTCACTGTTAGCAGCCCATCATATGTGTGGACAAGCATCTCGGCTGCACGTGAATTATTGCTATTCGGGGTTAGACATAAAAATCATTCAGGTTATGAAGTAAAGGTATGGGAGGACCCATGGATTCCCACAATCCCAGCGAGACCAGCACATGCATTTGCTCCGATTCTGCATCCGAACATGAGAGTGAGTGATCTTATCAATCAAGAAACAAAGTCTTGGGATCTTTATCGGCTGGAAAATTATGTTTATGCTGCAGATATACCTCTCATAAGGAGTATGGCAATTAGTTCAACCCATCGCAGAGACACACACTGCTGGAGTTACACAAGGAGCGGGCAGTACACAGTCAAGTCCGGCTATTGGGTAGCTAGAATATACTAATGAAGGAGGAAGAGAATCTGGTGGATGAACCTAGCATCAAAAGGCTCCAAGCACAGGTCTGGAAGGTTAAAGCACCCCCGAAGATGTGCCATCTTATGTGGCAGATTATATCGGGGAAGATGGCTGTTACGAGTGAGCTGAATCATAGACACATGATATGCGATAATTTCTGCCCACGATGCGGAGAACCGGAGGAAACAATTGCACATGCAATTTTTCAATGTCCACCGGCTTTACAGGTATGGGCCTTAGCATCTATACCCACCAGTCCAACTTTGTTCCTTTTGGAGAGCACATATGCGAATATGGACTATCTATTCTGGCGGAAGAAGACTATTTGTGGGCCAGAATTAGACAGGAATCCTTATCCTTGGTTAATAAGGTACATTTGGAAGGCTCAGAATGATAAGTTGTTCAGAAGAATA